AATGGATGTCATATTTGAGTACACTTTCCAATTTTAATATAAATATTAGTAATTTTACACTTAATTTATTAAATCCACAAATTTTATATAAATAAGTAATTGCACGTGGAAATATTTTTCCTATAATTCTGCCGTGTGATATAAAAACTTAGTTAACTGACATTTTGACGAAAAATGAGTTTTTGGTATCAATGAACTCGTAAGAAAAAGCTGCGTCTAATAGTTATAGTTTAAATAATTTTTGCAAATTATTGTTTATAAAAAATAGTTATTAAAAATCTTAAAAACTCCAGAAAATGAAAGAATATTTGATAAAAAGTTAAGGAAAGTACTTTGCGTAGTCCAAAAAACAAATGAGGCTGCGAGCTCGAATATAAGATTTCAAGGAAAAACTTAGTCAAAGGCAGTTGTGTGTTTTTTGTATGAAATAAGTAGTCGAGTCTGAGCGTTGGATTTTAAATAAAAACCTTACATTTGCAGCGCTTGCAATTAGCTAAGTTCTTCCATCAAAAATTGAGTCGAGTCAGAGCCGAACGACTACTTAACTGCAATTCGGCTAAACTCGGATTGTCCTCGGGTCGCAGGCAGTAAGCTGCTGTTTCCCTTGCTTCTGTCAAAACTTCAACTCAGAGGTTATGTTTAGCGGAATAAAAAGTGTATCAAGTTGAAATTGAGAAATAAAAAACGAAGAAAATTGTAAGTAAAATTAACTCAGACGTTCTTTTTTTAATGTTTTTAAACTTAATAATAAAGATTGTTCATATCATTTCAGTAGTTTAAACGTATATTATTATTATCATTATTCAAAATTAACATTGTCTAATTAGTTCTTATTTGGTGAAAATTTATTTGCAGTGTTCATGTACTTTTAAAATGATTTGTGAATTCGTAAAACGTATTATAGAACTGTTGCAACTGTCCCCTTACCACATGACGTCACTGCAGTTAGCTAAGTTCTTCCATGAAATCAGCAGACCGAGCTCGCGTACCTATTTCGTGGACACTACGCAAAGGACTTTCCCAAACTTTTTACTTCATATTTGCATTCGGAAAAACACACAAGTGCATTATTTCATATAATTTGTTTAAATAATTAATTTTTTATTTCATAATTAAATAGAGCACCATCATTATACCAAGTATGTGAAGTTAAATTTAATAATTTTTTAATTCTTATTAGTTTTCTGAAAGCAAACAGTTTTTCCCTATTTTCTCGCTTCGACATAAATGTCAGTTAACCAAGTTCTTATATCACACGGCAGAATTATTGTCTATTAATAAAAATATCTTTGACTAATACAACTGACAGCTGACGACAGTAAGTAAATAATCAGAACTGGGAAATTACAAGTCAACGTCTGTATTGTTGCACGAAAGCAGAGTTGGGTAGTAAATGAATTTTTTGTGCATATTAGGCTGTGTCATGGAAAACGCTTGTTGACATCTAATAAAATTAAAATGTGTGTTGATAATTAATTTTGTTATATATTTCATTCAATTGCATTTATAGATTCTCTGAATTCATGATAAAATATAAATTTTGAGGTTAGGGGCGTTTGTTCACTAACTTGAAATCTTTTACTGCTGCGGTAATTCCCACTTAAAATATATATTTTATATCTTTTTTAATAACATGCATACTGGATATTGTTTAATAATGTTAAAATGTAAAATGTGATTAGTAAACAAACTTTTCTAACCTCAATATTTATATTTTATCACGAATTCAGAAAATCTATCAATGCAAATGAATCAAATATATAACGAAATTAATTATCAACACACATTTTAATTTTATTATATGTAAACAAGCGTTTTCTGTGTTTAAAGTATAAATAAAATTGATGAAAGTGGAAACAAATTTTCTTCCCCGTAAGAATAACATTGTGTCGTCTGTTTGTTGTCTCTCCAGGCCTCTGACGTCATATCTTGAACTCGAAATATCTCGATGAACTGACACAGCCTAATATGCACAAAAAATTCAGTTACTACCCAACTCTGCTTTCGTGCAACAATACAGACGTTGAGTTATAATTTCCCAGTTCTGATTATTTACGTACTGTCGTCAGCTGTCAGTTGTATTAGTCAAAGATATTTTTATTAATAGACAATAATTATAGGAAAAATATTTCCACGTGCAATTACTTATTTATATAAAATTTGTGGATTTAATAAATTAAGTGTAAAATTACTAATATTTATATTAAAATTAGAAAGTGTACATCCATTTTTCTAGTAATGATTTAGTAACATTTTTATCCATCACAAATTTATCCTTTACCCTGTATCCTAACGATTTTTATCCTCTATCTTTACAACTTTTTACCCACCTTTTTTTCTGTGATGAATTATGTAAGAAAATGTTTTTCCCAAAATCTAAATCGCAGAATTTCGCGTTTTTTACATCATTTTGTAAAAAAAATAACTTTTTAACACTAAATCTTTTTTAATGCTTTAAACTATTTTATATAGATGATTAAGATTAATTATTCTTATTTTAGCATAAATAATGAATTTGGTCATAAAATACAAAAGTTAAACTTTTTATAGATGACAAAATGAGAACATGAGCTACTCCTGAAATTTAAACACCGCGTGACATGGTGATTTACTAGTAGTCCAGTCAAGTTAGTCTAAATACAAGGCATATCATGTTTTAACTCAGGATCTCAATTTTTTTTTTTTTTTTTTGCTTAAACCCTTCATTATGAGGTAAATATAAAGTACCTAAATTTGGTACTTCGAACTCTTACCGGAATTTGATAAAAAATGAACCCTGTAGCTCAAAAATTGACTGAGATCTAGCTTCTGCAAAAAACATATTTTTTCGAGATTTTAGCTAAAATGAGGTATTTTTCAGTTTTTCCAATATAGCTTTGAAACAAATTATTTTTTGAAAAAATTGACCAACAGGAAAGTTAAAGCTGACAAAATTCCTAAAAATTTGCAAAAAAGAACAATGCAATAACTTTGATAAATTAACAGTGTTCCAATCTTAGTAGCCAATTAATAAACAAGAATTTGAACATTCGTTCTATGTCTTGGTAGCCGATGACAAACCAATTTTAGATGCCTATTAATGGCAATATCTTACTGAAATTTTATAAAATGTGGTCCACTATTGACAATCAATAGTTCGACAAGAAAAGAATACAAAAATTTCATTTAATTCATTTTACATATGGAGATAATTAAAATATTTCCAACCACTAAAACGACAAAGTGCGAACGAAATGGTCATTCTGGTACAACAAATATAGATATAACATTAAGGGGTTACGACACTTTGAAATTTAAAAAAAATCAAAGAATTTTTTTTAGCTTAAAATACATCTTATAGGCATAGAAATGATATGCTATTTGGACCCGGCGTAGCTGATTAGAAGTAATTTTTAATTTAATCATTGTTAATCAGAACCAAACTGTTAAGAAAACTTTAAACGCGTTTTTCTCAAAAACTACATTTGAAAAATCGGTGGGCACTCCTAGCTGCCACAAATTTCAATCGATCCTCTTAGATTTTTTTTATTTTGTTTGTGATATAATTATCTAGCGAAATACGTATGGATTTTTTGAAATATTAATATTTAAATTTTCTAGACAACTTTAAGTAACGAAATTTAGGCAAAAATAAGCACTTTTCTTCAAATCGATGCGATCCCACTTGGAAAGATTCCCCGGAAAGTGCCCCCTGGAGGTTCTATCAGAATTCCGCCGGAACTTCCAACGTAATTCCGTCGGAATTCCATCGGAGTTCCAAATAATTTCCGATGAGATTCCGACGGAATTAGGACTCTAAAAATTTTGAAAAAAATTAATCAGAATTCCGATGGAATTCCGACGGAATTACGTTGGAAGTTCCGGCGGAATTCTGATAGAACCTCCAGGGGGCACTTTCCGGGGAATCTTTCCAAGTGTTGTCAAAAGTGCTCGGGAAGCAGCTGGGTGACGGTCATAGGACCCAATTTTCGAGGAATTAAGCTCTCAGTTGTAATCACTAACCCAGAAGAAGCGAACAGGCTGGAGACACGGTGCTCCAGAAGCAAAAATAGGTATCAAAAAAATGTGGACAAAAACGGTTTGCATAATATATTTTCTATATATAATTATAATTATAGGTTCAAAATCCGTTTTAAATGAAATCCTACCTTTTTCCGTGTTTCAAAAATCTATGAAAATCTTTTTTCTTCCTTATTATATCAAGTTCGTTTAATCCCTTCACTGTTAGAGAAAACATTGATACTGTTGTCCCAAAATGTCAAACAAATTTTGGTCAATAAATTTTTATGAAACTTAGTATCCAAAAAGAACTTCAAAAAGGAGGGTTACGGATTCTAGTTAGTTGCGGATGGTAGTAGATCATACCATTTCTTTCAGTAAACCACAATTCAGATTTAGTTCCGTGAAATAATCTTAATCTGTATTGAGTTCAAAATTAATATGCAAAATCCATAATCAGAAACATTGCAAATTTAGTTTAGTTCCAAAATCCGCAATAAGTTATGAACAATCCGAATTTGGTTTAGTTCCAAAATTAATAAGGCCTTTATTTAATTTAATAATTTAAATGAAGTGCATCAAATTTGTTACTTAAAATTACATTAAAATTACTATTAAACCGAATTCAATTTTTTAATTAAAAGAAAATAATTCATAAAAATATAATTCTTGTTTTTAAAATAGTTTAGTGTAACTGTTAACATTTAATTTTCCACTTAAACTGTGAAATCAGTATTTTTACTTTTAAACATTTCTTTTAAAAGAAACAAATTAATTTGACAATAATTCGAAAAAAGAAACAGTTACAATTTTAGTCTTTACGATTTTTAAAGCTCTATAAATAAACAGGATTTTGTCAGCATTTTTGCAGAATCCAAGTCTACTAGACTAAATCCGGATTGCTGTAGACTAATACTGTCCTTTTTTTTTAAGAGTTCGGATTGTTTTGGATTATTTGGAAAGTGAATAGAAAATAAAAAAAAAATATCGATAAATTTTAATTAAATTAAATTTTTACCTCCTTGAAGTGAAGGATAAATATAAAAGGCAGGTTCCTGTAACCAGGATACTACTCGAACCAGATCCCTAACAAAACTAGGCACTACGCAACGTAAAACTGCTGTACAGCCTCTTGAAGCTCCTCCAATCACCTCCACGTCCACTTTGTATGCTTGAGCCACCACTGAAAAAGAAAAAAATTTTCAAATTATTTTAAAAATATTTAACTATTCTTGGTTGGTTGCGATTTGCATTTCGTTAGTAAGAGTATTTTTGCTAATTTATATTAGTTACTGTTACCATTTAGTTAGTCAATCTATCCACTTCGTTAGTAAGGTAACTAATTAAACAGTTATTCCTATAAACTAATTAGTTAAACCAACTAATAAAATAGTTATGCCAACCAATAAAAATGGTAACCCCAACCAACGTTTCCTTTCAGTGTATTAATTTCTTGTATAAGAAATTTTTCCAATAATATAAATAATAATAATATTTTGAAAATATTTTTAAAACACATACAAACTAGTTTTATGTTTTCATTTTTCCTACAGAAAATGCAAGAGATTTTGCTATAAGCACAGATTTAAATACAAATAAATTACCTCTAAAATCCACTAAACCTAATAATTCCATGACAACTTAATTTGCATGAAGAATTTTATACAAAAGCTTTGATGGTAACTATCTACATAATACACAATGTTCATTTTGATACGCGTACACATAGTAAAATAAATTAAAACATTTGAAATCTAGCTCAAAGGGCATTAGAGTTTTCATTTACATAACATGACTTTATACAAAGTATCAAATGCCCTTAAGGGAGGATATGTATTTTAAGTTAAATAACAAGCTCCAAACCCACGGAGCACAAGTAGATGATAATCTGTTTTTCATTTTTCTTTTTTTTTCATTTTTATTTAATATGCTCTCATGCGTACGATGCATCTTTCATTCACTGAGACAAACTAAATGCATTGAGACTCAACTCGAGTCTGGAGGGAGCTTTTATACGAATAGTATACGGCTTGGTGTAATTACCTCTTAAAAAAAAGTATAAAAAAAAAAAAAAAAAAAAAACGCAATCTGAATGCAAATCCGTGGCAGCTGCGAGCTGGCCAACGCTTTCAGTATTGCCAACCAACCTCTCCGAACATAAAGTTTATCCACAGTCCCAGAACGGACTCGCGTGTGCGTATATATGTGTTCGTTAATTAAAACTTTATTTTCCGTTTTCAAACTCAATGAAAGAAAATCCTGCACTCTCATTTCAACCTAGTTTTTATAACCGATTTCATTGGCAACTCAAATATAATTTCGATTGCGAATTCATTATAAGTAAAAAATCAAATTTCTCCTCTTTTTAAATTATTTATATGTGACCTGGTCTATGAAAAGGGACCTTATGTGTCAAAAAAATCAATTTTCACTTTTTTGTTGATTCGAATCGAGTTTGAAACGCTCTTTAAGATGGTGAAAACCAAAATGTCATAATTTGTTTAGAAGTTGTTTAAAAGTTTGTTTAAAATCAAGAGAAACAAAAGTACAAGAACGATTTTTTTGTTATTATACAATTTAAAATAACTGTCATTTTTTTTTTCGTTAAAAACCGTTATTATTTAGAAAAGTTGACAGATTTTTTGACAGCAGGCAAAATTCAAATTTGACATCATATTCGTAATCAGCGACCCCGAAAACCCTGATATCATTTTTGTTAAAAACCGTTATTATTTAGAAAAATTGACAGTTTCTTTGACAGCTGTCAACTGTCAATCGGTCAATTTGACATCATATTCGTAATTAACGGCCACGAAAACCCTTACAAACATGTATCATTTATTTACACATTTTGTTGCTATTTGGAAAACTTGGATTGTTTTTTCTATGTTTGGAAATTTTGTTATTAATTTATACGTAAAATCATTTTAAAAAATTTTCCATTATTTGTATATTTTTTATTTTGATACTGTAATCCATATACTGAAGAAAATAAATTAAACTTGATTAAAAACATATTAATATTTGAAAAAGATACAAGGGTTTTTCTAAGTTTAAACTTTAACTGCTGTTTTCTCGAAAACTTGTTTTCGCACGTAAGATCCCTTTTCGCAGACCAGGTCACATATATATTTATACAACTATTATGTAATTAAATTATTTAAAATTTGTTGAATTATTTAAAAAATAAAAATTAATATAAATAGGAAAAATATAATAAATGCTTCTATAAAGGAAAATTTTTAATAAAAAAATGAAGAATGCTTTATATTGTGTATACAACGATTGACAAGGTAATTTATTGTAACTTTAATAGAAAAGAGGGTGAAAAAAATTACTTGGGGTGCATATCTCTTTTCTCTATGGGATTTTGATATACCAAACTATATATATATATATATATATATATAGAGGAACTGTTTGACACGTTCTTGAAATTTCTTCTCAAATAAAATGTCTAGTGCAGTCGACGAAAAAAGTCGACGAGACGGTGAAAACGACAATCATGAAGCGCTTTCTTTTTACGAGCATTTTGAAGGTTTTACCTTTAAGACCTTTTTTTTGGCACGTATATTAAATTTATTGTATTCTGGAGGAAATTTTTGTTTTATTGAAAAATATTAAAACCCTCAAATTTAGTATTAATCATATGTGTTAATAGTTTTTAAATTTTAATTTAATATAATAATAACGCTAAGTAACAAATTTAAGATAAATTAACAGATTTTTCAAATTTTGACTCCATATTCGATCAACCATTTCGAATTTTAAAAATCTGAACTTGCGAATCTTGCGAACTTTTCAGAAGAAACTACTAAATTTATTTGGAGAAAGTATTGAAAAGAGGTACTCAATTATTATTTTGAGTTTTTCCTGAAATTTTTCGGACTTTCAACTGAATATTCATGAATATCTTTGAATTTTTCCCTCGTATACAGAGTTACACACAGTGCTCTGAAACCAGAATCCAGCTGGACAAAACTGTTTTTCTCCAAATTGCTTCGGTGAATTTGTATAAAACTTGTTACTCGGGGGTTTTTGTGGTCGCTGAATACGAATCTGAGGTCAGTTTTTGAAAATTCAAAATGGCGGATCTAATATGGCGGACAGAAAGTTTCAAAAATTAACGGATTCTAATGAATCTTGATTATGAATCTCAGGTGAGTTTTTAAAAGTTCAAATTGGCGGATCCATCATAAGTTAAGATGTTTGAAATGAGTTGATGAAAATTTCATGTAATTTTCGAAAACTTAAAACATTGGACAATTTTCATTAATTTTTATAAGAGTTTAATTTTAAAAATGTTCAGGGTCATTATTTACTATTCCGAAAATAAATTTTAACAACTGAAATAGGTTTGATTTAATATATCAAATTTGTTTCGAATAATTATTTTATATGTGAACATTAATTTTTTAAACTCACTGTCCGCCATATTGGATCCGCTATTTAAAATTTTTGAATACTGACCTCAAATTTGTAATCAGCGACCCAAAAAACCCTCTAGTAATAAGTTTCATTAGAATCCGTTAATTTTTTAAACTTTCTGTCCGCCATTTTGAATTTTGAAAAACTGACCTTTGATTCGTAATTATTGGCTCTAATAACTCTTACACAGTAATCAATGTGAGTCTTTTTAATGTATTATGGAATGTTAGTAAACATTTTTGAAATTTTAAAACTTTTTTTTTGAGGTTTTGTCCAGCTAAATCAGGGTTTCAGACCACTGTGTTACAGAATTATTTTAGGATTTTTCCTTCAACTTTTTCTTTCCGTGTAGATCCGCCATTTTGAATTTTAAAAATCTGAAACCATATTTCATTTGCCATTTTGAATTTAAAAATTTTAAAACCAGATTTGCAATCATCGACCCTAAAGACTTCAATATAACAAGTTTTATGTAAACTCAACTGATTTTTAGAAAAATCAACACCATATTGCCATCAGCCATTTTGAATAATAATTTAAATTCAACTTTGGATAATATTATGAATAATGAATATAAAATTTTTACCAGCTCGGACTTGAACGTCGCGACTAAGAACTCGACCAACGGAATTACTAGCGACGCATCTGTATGCTGCACTGTGAACATCCTGTCTGTAAGCTGCAGCCGGAAACGGAAGAAGAACGAGGGTACCATTACTGAGTACACGTCGGACACTGGGTATGTCACCAACCGGAAGACCATCGACAGTCGACCAGTCAATGTTGGGCTGAGGACTTCCAGTTGCAGCGCAGTCAAGCCAGGCGCCACTTGAATTTGAAAATTCCACTCTAGACGATGGCTCTATTAGAAAACTCGGTCCACGAAGATGTGCGTCAAAACTGTGGCCGCTTGTTGACGAAACTGCCGCTGTTGCTCCTGTAATAAAAATAAAAAAATTTTCAACTTAATTTATTTTGTGTTATTTTAAAAAATTACTGGTAACAGTATTAATATATTTTGCAGTTGAAATTATCAATTAAGAAGAGGAGGGCAGGTTAGTGAAATTTTTAAACATAATAATTTTATATATGAATAAACTTGAGGATGTTATTGATAGTAATTTATTTTTATATGCTGATGATGCAAAAATTTTTAGACCTGTGAGCAATGTTCGTGATTGTATTGATCTTCAATCTGATGTAAATCGATTTTCTGACTGGTATAAACGCAATTCTCTGGACATTAATCCTTCAAAATGTAGTGTGATGACTTTCTCGAGAAGTAAAGATATAATTTCTTTTGATTATACAATAGACACACATTTCCTTGAGAGAGTTACAACCATTAAAGATCTTGGTATTCACCTAAGCAGCTCTTTAAAGTTTAACACACATATTGATGTAGTTGTGAGAGTAGCGAATAGATGTCTGGGTTTTATCATTCGAACATGTCAAAAGTTTAATAATGAATCTGCGTTAAAGTCTTTATTTTCATGCTTTTGTAGTATCTAAATTGGAATATGGTACAGTTCTTTGGTATAATTTAGCGCAGTATTTAATTGATTTAATTCATAAATGCCACAAACGATTCTTAAAATTTCTTTATTTCAAAAAATACCGTGTATTTTTATTACCTGGCACTGATTATAAGGAATTGTGTAATCATTTTAATGCACAACCTCTTGAGGATCGAAGATTCATAAAGTTTGTCACTTTCTTTTTTAAAATTGTAAAACATAAAATTGACTGTCCTTTCTTATTATCACTTGTACTCTTTTATGTTCCGAAGCGAAATCATAGAAACGTTCAACCTACTTATACTGGATGTAAATCCTTACAGAATACTATTTTAAACAACATGTGTGATGTATTTAATGGTGTTTGCAATGATTTCGAATTTGATATGAATTTTCATTCTGTATCTACTTTTTCAAAATCGGTACATGATTTTACTCTAAGGAACTAATTTCACTGCGATAAAATAAAATATTATATAGATATATTCTAACACTTGATTTGAAATAAGTGACTATCTTTATCATCGTACTTGTTATACTTTACATTTGTATTAATAATCCTGTAATTGGTCTCCGGACTGTTTTGGATTAAATCAAAATAAATAAAAATTGGTTTTATGGTTTTTAGTAGATCGCTCAGGAGTCAGAACAAAAGGGATTATAACCTAAGAGTACAGGTTTAAGATATATATGTCTGGGAATTAGGAATTTTGAGGATTTTGCAGGTTTTACAATACCTTCATAAGATAGAAAAAAATAATTCTTAAAGATAAAAAGGAACTTGAGATAAGAGTACAAGCTTCAGGTACATAAGTAGGTTTCTAAGGGTTTCGCAAATTTTTTCTTTTTTTATATAAAAATAAATTAGTCACAGAAGCAGGGGCATATTTTAGTGGAAATCGTATTGTTGTTGTTTCTTAATTTTTTATATTTTTGCAATCATCGCTTTTATATTATTGTAAATTTCTTGGAAATATTTTACATTGAATGTTGTTATGTAATTATCGTATTCGGATAACATCATTGCGGCTTAATATGTAATTGGAATGTATTAATGGATGGAGAATAATGGCTAAAATTTAATGAACGTAATTACAAATTGATTATTTTTCGTTCCTATAATTATCGTATTAATTGTTTCAAAATTTAACTAAATACTTTTATAATTCAAATAATTTTTTTTTAAATATATATATTTAGTAAAGTAACATAATTGTTATAGGGTCATTATTTAGAAGTATCAGATCCAGGTATTTGCTTTCGAATTAGGTCTCTAAGCGTTTTGTAGATTTTCTGCAGTCCTTAGTCTAACATTTCTCATAAAAGAACAATCCGGAAGGACAAAAAGAGTGATAATCTAGGTAATAATCAGATTTTGCTAGTAGTTTTTCCTAGGGTTTTGCAAATTTTCCACTTGTTTCATAAAACAGAAAAAACCGGAAAAAACAATTGCTAAGGACAAAAGGGATCATAACTTAGGAGTATTGGATTCAGATATCTTTTTTAAAACTAGGTCTAGGTGTCTTCTTTGGAACTAGGTCTCCGAGGGATATGCAGATTTTCTACTTCATTCATAAAAAAATTTTTCCAATCTAATCTTTTCATTTTTCAATTCTGTTATTGATCATTACAATACAAACAGCTTCGGTGATTCAGTGATACTTCCAGTTTCATTTACTGAGCACTAGACTCTGAGCTAAGGGTACAAGAAAGAAAGAGAAATAGGATATTAATAAATACATAATTAATTGAGCTGCTGGATCAAAGAAGGGCAAATAACTAATGTAATTCAGATGGGTTATGTACCCTTCTTTGAACAAGCAGCTCAATTACATTTATTGTACATACATTAAATCGTAATTTACTCAAAACATTGACCTCTAGGTTTGAATCTTATTTAAATTGATTTTAATTTATAGTGATACTTGATTTGTTAAATTCTGAATAAGATATAGAGAGTTATCCTTGGTGAATAGTCATTGTAACCAGAAAATGAAAACCCTATACATATTTGTTTAGACGAAATTTTTATGAAACTAAAACTTGAAGTAAGGCAGTTAGGTAACACACCCAATTAATGTTGAAGTTTTATGATTTTGTTTGGATAGTTATCAGGCTTCTGGATAACAACAAGTACCAGGGGTTCGGAGTTCCAAGATCTACTAATTCTCGACAAAACTAGATTATTGTACCGATATAAATTTATTCTTTGGTACAAAAGGTAAACACTTGACGAGCAACACGTTTGATTAGATGTATAGCAGCTTTGGTATTTTTTGGAAATACAGAATTTGTTAGAAAAATTAATGTATTGTCGCGAATGTATTATTGATTGAACATTAAACTGTTACAGTAACACAACACAAGTGTAATATTAGTTAAATAAAATGTAACAAATCGTTACGGTAACGTGACAGCAAATAAAAAAAAACTTGCTAAAAACAAAAAGGGTCATAACCTAGGAATACTGGATCCAGATATCTCATTTGGAACTACATCTCCAAAGGATTTGCAGATTTTCCACATCCTTTATAAAACCAAAATAACCAAACAAATCAAAAATTGTAGAAATAATTTTTATAAATTAAAAAAAAAAGTTAAATTCAATTTGGTATCTCAGTTATATAGGTACGAATGGTATTTAATCAAAGTTAGAGGAGTTGTCAATGCATCAGCAAAAGTATCCTTAAATTGAAAAGCAATTTTCCCTCTTGGAATGTTATATATACCTATATATACACAAACATATATATATATATATATATATATATATATATATATATATGTATATATACATATATATATATATATATATATACAAATGGTATACGCGTGGGAACGCGTGAAATCTCCCTTCTATGCATTGAATCTTGTTTGAAAAAGGATAAAATGCCGTCAGCGGGGTTACGCGGGGCAAAAATGGATTCCACACTATATATACATATATATGTCGACATTGCGGATTACGAGAATAGCAACTGTAAATTCCACACGTCGATTTTCAAGAGATCCCATTTTCAATCGCATTTATTTGTGCGTGTGTATATGTACAGTTCACACATGTGTTTTCATTTCACAAGTTTGGAATTTGAAGGAGAAACTTTGATACGAAAAGCGCCCGTATCTCAGACCGCATTTAAATGGAAAATTGTATAACCAATTCACGAGAAAAGTTTTTTCTTCTAACCTTAAAATTTTTTTTTATTAAACAAATCCTAAAATTAATTTGTTAGAATTTTTATTTAATTAAAATTTATCAATAAAGTTCTAGTCAAATTCTATTTAATTTTTTTGACTGGGTAGATCGGAAATTGTGTAACCGAAAAAAAATCCAGTGTCAGTTTTTCCAAATTCAAAATGGTGGATCCAATGGCGGATGAATTTTTTAAAATTTTATCTAATTCACTTGAAATTTATTGATATCTATTGTATTTATTTGCTTTCGGATTATGTATATCCATACAAAAGTGTTCGTTGTCTGGTAACATTCTTGATTCTGGTACATTGATGTTTACATACTAGATAGCTCACTCATTTATCACACTTTTACAATTTATTGTGTTTTTTTTTATTTAATACTTGGGCTAGGAAGTATGCAACTTGTTTAATTGTTTTAGAAACTGGATTATTTAAAATTGACAGCCAATGATTACTTATTTCCCCTAAGTTGTTTAGTTTTGTTATATATTTTTTCCAATCCAAGTCTAGAGAATTATATTCTATTAGTATGTGAAGAATATATTCAATGTTATCTAATTTTTTAAAACAATAGTTACAATATTCATTCTCTTTAAGGGAGCAATATTATTTTCTCCAGAATATCCTAGTTTGGAATTTATTAATCAAGCGCAGTTGTACAAATAGTTTCAAATTGTTGAATATAGTTTTTTTTTTTAAATTTTGAATTTCTTCATTTAATTCTAAATAGGGATAGAGAATTAGTAAGGAGGAGGACTGCGCTCTTCGAAAATCTTCTTGTTTAAGAATTGTTTCATATTTTTTAATCCATTTTTCTTGACACCGAAAAAATAGTATTCTGAAATGATAAGTACTGAAAGTATGAAAAGTATTCTAAATTTTGTTAATTAGTACATATTTTAAAATTTTTAGTATATCTCCCACTTATATCTGCAATAATAGTTGGTATTCTTAAAAGAAGAATATATTCTGGAACTTACAATTAGAATATAATAGTCTTTGAAAAGGCGTTATGAGCATGTGTAATTGCGCGACCTAAAACGCAAAAGCAAGTTGGAAAATACCGGTGTCTTCGTGTACGGCGTGAAACTTTTTTAGTGTTTCGGGTTAAATTAATATTTAAAAAAATATTACTTCGAGTGTCAATATGGAAGAGGTTAAAATGTGCCTTAGAATGTATTATAGATTCTATAATTGTTTTTTAGTGGTTTTTAGCGTTACA